GGTTGCACTTGCATACACGTTGTGTTCAAGTCATTCACTCCAAGTGGATCAGGTCACCAACGTGATCTGTGTACTCAGCTTCGCCGATGACGTTGTTGACGAGATTGTCTTTCAGAGCCTGAAGACGGTTGTCAATCAGCCGGTATCTTCTCTTTCTTGGTGGTGCTGACCAGTGGGCTCCAATTCGTTGAATGGCGACTTCTACGTTGGATTGTTCTCTTTGAATGTAACAACTTAAAAAATGTTCGGATGGTTCTTCCTGGCAAGTTTGTTGAGTTTGTGATTGTGATTTGTGATTCCACGTTGTCGTGACGTAGTCCATGAAGAACTGTCAGCGATGGCTAGGAGCCAGACGTCGTCGACCTTGTCCAAGGGAAGCAGAGACAAGGCTGCAGCTCTTCTCACCAGTCGTCGCACTTCATCATCGTTCTTGTAGGCCAGACCTTCCTTCTGTACTCGACGCCATATGCACTGGGTGAAGTGAAAATAACAGCTCCTGGTCAAAGTGTTTGGAAAGGCACTCCGTACAGCATTGTGGGCAGCGATTTCAAAGTCTAACTGGAAAATTCTTGGATTGAAGTAACAATTCTGCTGTTGAGCCATTAGACGTAAATGTTCAAATGTCCTGGTGAACGTATCTTCGGACTTGTTCGGGAGCAGACAGTGCACAAGCGGGAACATGTGGCCTTGGAATTCAGCATGCAGTGTGTAGATCTGCTCAAACAGTCGTGGAGCCGAGGAGAAGAGGCCGTCACCAAACACTTCATCTGCTGCACACAGATGCTCAATGTTGTTGCTTGTGGTGAAGATGAGAATGTCGTAGTCGATGCGATGAAGGAAGTGTTCTCCTGCTTCGGTCAATGTCCACTGTCCTTCAAGATTTATCTCAGGTCGGGTGGCAGGAAGTTTGGGAAGGGTCTTGTGGCGTTGTGGATGCAAAGAAAAGGAATTTCCTTAAGCAGGTCGTCTGGAACTACGTCGTGGTGGCGGCGAAGCCTGGAAATCTCATCTCCGTATATGGTTGAAATCGGCGTTGTTTCCTCTTAGCACGGTGGCTGAGCTTGGAATTGAAAGATTCCACTTCCATCTCATATGGGATAGGTTGGTGGGTATGGTTCACCTGCAACTGAATAATTGCATTTTAACTAATATTAACTATAAACAAATACATACATGTGACAAATACCTGTGGTATTTAGAAATAAGTAATAATAATAAGTAAAATAAATAACTGAATAGTTTGTTAAGCAAAGTCTTTTGAGTCGATGTCTTTAAGATTATTATCATCATGATCATGTGCATTATTTTCTTACCCGCAAAGCCGCTTGAAGAATACCGTTTTCAGTGATCACCGACGCTCTGCAGGCAGCAACAACGCAGTTCCAATACTTCTTCTCACGGACCATTATCTTACAATCAAACTTGACCCCCTCTTAAAACAAGTGCTGACCACCTCGCACGGTATCAACCATGGTAGCTCGAACTTGTGCGTTAGCCATTTTGCCCATAGATAATGTTGTTGTTGCATTAAGTGTTTAAGAGGTCGCCTTCTGCCTAGGCAATTTCGGCTGACCTGTCCCTCTTTGGGACTCCTGTGTGTGAGTAGGGTACACATATCTATTGTGAGTTTGGTGTTCACCTAATTTCTGTTTTTGTATTGATATGATTTCTATTTTCTTATATTGATATGATTTCATTTCTATCCTTGGCTGCTCTGTTTATATACGTTCGAGTTGCTGTCCATCTCTCAGAAATAGAGTTAGTTTGGCCTTTGCTATTGCATCTCTTGGCTTTGGGAGATCTATGACAGATAGCGGATCTAACTGCAATTCTTGTTCTAACCTAGCCCGGGCTGGGGCATGGTCTTGACATTCTAGTAACACGTGATCAATGGTTTCAGCCTGATTGCAAGATGAACAAATCTTATCATAGTGCTTTTTGTGACCGAGTCTGAGGCGTGAGATAGCAATTTCAATTTTCCTTTCATTTGAGTATGAGTTTGGCTTTTGTTGGACCTTGGGTTGAATTTTGTATAGCCATCTGCCGATCTTACTTGCGTCCCATTGGGCTTGTCATCTCTCTGCTATTGAGGCTTTGATTTTGCTTTTTACATTGTATCTCTAGTTTACTAAAGGGAATAGGCTGTATATCCGCTTTGTCTAGAGCCAGCTTCGCCAGTGAGTCTGCTTTTTTATTTCCATGAATATCTATGTGAGAGGGGATCCAACACAGCTCCACCTGTTGCCCTTGGTCCGATAGTTTTGTATTCGTATAGAATATTGTTGACTGTGTTTGGCCTGGAGTTTGAGTTTCTGCCACTGATGGCCTGAAGTGCACGACTGCCTGATAGGACGACTGCCTTTGCTTCCAGGAGTTCCGGTATGAGGTTGAGTGCATGATAAATTGCTTCCACTTCAGCCGTGAATACTGACAGACCATCAGGCAAGCGAACTATATGTGCTTGGGGTTTGGAGCTGTGGATATGGATCCCGTAAGCAGCACTGTTGTTGATAGGATTCTTGGATCCATCAGTGTATATAGACCACAGTGACCATAGATAAATAAGTTGCACTCTTTATATATACCATCAAATACATACTATATGTATTCTTAAGAAACGACTCTCCTCTCAACTCATCGGTATCATAACCCATATCAACTAAGAAACTAATTGTTTGTTCAATTTAGAAACTGATCATCTCTTATCCTGTGGTTAAACATCCAACTGTATTATTTTTTACGAAACGACTCTCTAGTAAATCTCCTCTCCTCTCCTCTCCTCTCCTCTCCTCTCCTCTCCTCTCCTCTGTAATCCGTTGATTTTGTAGCAATTACTCATTTCTCGCTTTCGTAGCACAAATACCCCACCTTTGGTTTTGCTTTACTGATACTAGGGAAAATTGGATTTTCGCTAACCAGGCACGACACCGACTTGCCAGGCGTCCAAGAGCACTTGGATGTGTCAACAACAAAACACAACTAAAATACTTACTTTTAAATGAAAGTGAAATCTTCGGTTTCTAAATGTTTGTGTTGCAATATTCCACTTCTTTTAAACTTTTCAAAATGAAAATTCGCAAATTTTAAAGGTGTTTTTTGCTTTACAAGATTTTCGACTTTAAACACTCCAACTGTTACATAGAGATAGTTGTGACGAAACGGCTAGCAGTTACTGCACGAGCAAATTGTGCAGCATTGATAAGCAATTGTTTAAAAGCACTTGTTTTGAAACCTCGCCGTCCTTTCACCAGAGACTCGCTTTTAAATGTTCACGCGGAACTGTACACCTGACATTCAATTTTAATTGAATTAAAATTTTGAATTGCTACTTGTCGTTTTTTCAGTTACTTGGTTAAACCTGGGATTTGGGGTTTAACATTCAAAGTAAAACCTGCCGAACGAAAATAAAATCGTCACAGTAGGTTTTACTTTGAAAGTAAAACCTCACAACACGTTTTAATGCCTATAGAAAGAACTCTCTTACTTAATAGAGATCCCTATGAATAGGTTTATAAAATCAGATCAAAGTTCTCGCTGCCACTTAACAAAGATGTTTGTTTAGCGATAGCGAGAACTAAGATCTGATTTTAATGGGATTGCCATTTTGTTACATGAAAATTCCATGACTGAATCAAACCTAGAACCTCACATATCGTGTTTAGTTTTGTAATCCACTGTTTTCCCACTGAGCCACAAGGGCAGGTGATAAAAGCTTGTTGAAGTTTACATGTCATGACTCCAGCTGGTCCACGTTGCAAGTGTCTTTTTCTCTCGCATGCTTCGATCGAATTCCTTTGGACCGCGAAACGCTGTATTATTTCACTATAAGGCATTTCGATGATTTCTTAATTGTTCGGTATCTCTTGCATTTAGACGGTTCATAAGTGAGATAGAACACTCCAGCGACATCTCAAAAACGTCTCAGACCTTTACCACTTCTATGAAACCCACAAGCACGGGTGCTGACAAACCTAGAAACATGATCGGGGCGAACCGGGCATCGAACCTACAATCAGGTTTCTGGAGTGACAAAGGGACGCAACTCTGCACAGCGAATCGGGGCGCCTTCGACGACTGGGCCACCCATGCCCCCTATAGAGTTAAGAAGGAATTGATGGCGTGACCGTTGTTAAAGTGTGACAGGGTAATGATTAAAAGTTAAAGAAGATTTAAGTAAAATGTCCCATGAAAAACTCTCATACATTTAATATATCATTCACATTGGGTCAGTATTTCATATTTCATCATCCTGTACTGTATCAGTTGTCTCGACCCGTTAAGATTCCGGGGTAGAACAGGTCTTCAGCTACCCATACCTGCCTTAAAGGTGACTATGCTTGTCGTAAAAGGCGACTAACTGGATTGGGTGGTCAGGCTCGCTGACTTGGTTGATGCATGTCATCGATCTAAATTGCGTGGATCGATGCTCATGATGTCAATCACTGGATTGTCTGGTCCAGACTCGATTATTTACAGACCGCCGTCATATAGCTTGAATATTGCTGAGTGCGGCGTTAAACAACAAACCAAACCAAAATCAGTTGTCTCCCTTATAGTCCGTTTTCAGATATGTTTATGTGTGAACTGATGTTCACTGAGACGACAACCGCCTCCACGGTCTAGAGGTAGAGCGTCCGCTCGAAAAGCGGAAGGTCCGGGGTTCGATCCACGGCCGCGTCATCCCAAAAGACATTAAAAGATGGTATTTGTTGTTACCCTGTCTGACGCTCGGCATTAAGGTGCTAAAACAAGGACTTGTCGGCTCGGCGTCAGTAAACTGTGTCTGAGTGGGGTATTCATGTTAAACTGCGGCATGGTATCTCAGTGAGCTAGCACTATAAATCGGCATCAGTCCGGACTAGTACAAGCAGCCACATACACACACGTGCATTCACGTCGCTATATAAGTGCAATAATCTTGGACGCGACGTTAAACCCAATTTTACCTCACTTCATTGAGACGACGATGAGCACACATAGTGTATTGTTCTATATTTCAGTTCCCTGCTGTCGTCTACTTAAATGTGGGTGGACGACATCTGACAACCACCCTGTCCACCCTCACCAAGTACCCGAACTCCAAGTTGGCCGGCATGTTTAGTGGAAGGCACCCGGTAGCCAAGGACAAAGATGGCCGCTACTTTATTGATATGGATGGAGATGTGTTTGTTCATATCCTCAACTTTCTGAGAATCGGGACAATGCCTCCTCCTGAAAGAGCTAAAGAAGTTCGGGATTACGCAAGTGGCTTTGGATTAAACGTCCTGTTTACAGCCATTGCAAGAAAGATAGGAAAGGCTCCATGACATTTGTTTCCTGGTCACAATTTGGGATACGTGAAAAGGGAACTCAGGAATTTTTACTTTTCTTCAAGGTATATTTGTCATTGCATATGGACCGCCCAATGTTCATGTTTTATGAATGGCTGTCAACGTCAGCTTTCTGGGGTGCCTCAGATTGACATACGCATTTCTGGTCTTGATAAAGATAAGGAGATCTCCGTTGCTCAATCTACTGGCACATGACTTACAATGTCTGGATATCTTCACAAATGAGAAAGAAATAACAAACGACTGTAACTGTGTCGTTGCAATGATATTTCGAATTGCCAATGCACCGAAGAGTACACTGAATGAACTCAAATGATTAAACAACGCAATCAACAGAAATTCGCATTTCGTCTATTTCTGAAGCGAACGTGCATGTATTTTACTTTTACTTTCCTTCAAAGAGGGTGTAGACGATGGTGGCGATATGTCCGGTGTGGGGATCATGGCCTATCACGTCAGGGTGGATATCAATCATTATGCCACAAGGTTATTACATTGTTAACACAAATAACCTTGTTATATTCCTACTTTTTATGCTTTGGAGACTATAAGTGCCTTAGATTTATATATACTGACATGCGGATATATGGGAATGGCTGTATAACGAAGACAATACAATATACATGTACCCTAAAGTCGAACGGTTAAATGTTAATAAGTAAATACACTTAACGTGATTGTGTAACATAGCCATTTAGCTTTCGTTTATGCTTCCAAAAACCAAAAGCAAATTAGGCCACGCCCATAACCAACTAATGCTTCCTGATTGGCCGATTAGAGTGGGCTGGGTTTGTTTCGCATTATTGCGCTGATCGTTTTCACTGATCTCGTATTCTTATATGCATTTTTGTTATGTTAATGATTAAATAAATAGTGTGTGAAGTTAATATTGTTGACTTATATATTTAATCTTCGTACCTAGACGGGACGGTCGGGTAGCCAAGTGGTTAAAGCGTTCGCTTGTCACGCCGAAGAGCCGGGTTGGATTCCCGACATAGGTACAATGTGTGAAGCCCATTTCTGGTGTCCCCCGTAGTGATATTGCTGGAATATTGCTAAAAGCGGCGTAAAACCATACTCACTCACTCCTTTTTAGACAGAGCATGCTTGGCTGGACCTCAAAAGTTCTAAAATGTTGACACCAAAGGCTGGAGCTGCTGGAATATTTTTCCACTTACAGGGCAAGATTAATATTTATCTTTTGCAAGTGACCTGTCAGGAAAAACAAATAAACATACCTCACATTCAATAATGTAACTTCTGGCAACCTTGACCGTAAACAGAGGTCAGGCACAATTTAATCAAATAGAAATCCAAACCTGTACATATAGTCTCAAGCAACCGTACACTGTATAGTGTCCGAAAGAAATGTTAAGATAATTGATGTTTTAAAGTCAATTTTTTCCAGGATTATAAACTGACAGTGAGCGGATTTATGGTAAGCTTATTGACATCTTGTCGGACATTGGTCATGTTTCGTGGGAATTCCGGCGCAGAATACGTTCACAGTATCCCAGAGCGATTTTGTGTTGTCGCACGCAGACGGTGTAGGAAATAGGTAATGATATCAAACGTGATTGATACTGAATTATTTACAGCCCGACGTTACAAGGCTAGAGTGAAATGACAATAAGTCCGCTCTATCATAGCGTTACAGCTTGATGTTGGAGGGAGGTTTCAAGGCTGCGTTTTCCACTTGGTGAAATCCACAAGACCCGAGCATGGTGCTGACAAACCAAGGGAAATCCTCAGGGATAATCAGGGATTCGAACTAATTAACAGCGGATCCTGATATGGCCAAAGGGATATTGATCTGTATAAATCTTAACTTACTCATGATATTTCACGCTTCATAAACAGATCTTGTTTATCAAGTAATTATTTGGTATGTTATTATAAGTATTGGTGGCTTATTTAATGAAGAGTGATGGATAAATCTTGTTACCACGGCTACTAAATTCTTGTCATTTGTCTCAAAAGTTGTAACATGTCTTTCAACAGAAACCGAGCGAGAATTGTTGAGACCTATTATAACGCTATCAAATATAATTGCTTTGTACCAATTTTTAACAAAGCCATGGATCAAGACTGTGAAAGGCATTTAATAGTAATACACAAAAGGAAGAGAATTTATGGATGTCAACTTCTTTATTATGAGGAACACAACGTTTCTGAGTATATGCCTACTCCTTCATCAGGTGAATGAATGATATGAGGCAGAGGGCTAATTACCCCCGGCCTCCTGTTGTCTGTTGTCCATTGCCATTTTCTTATCAGTGATAATCTATTCCTGGCTTCCAGTTGTCCATAACTATCAGCGCTAATCACTGTACAGTGTTGGCTTTCATTGTCTATTGCTAATCGCCTATCAGCGCTAATTATCTGTTGGCTTCCCTTGTTAAGTTTCCACCTTTTGTTATCTTATTACTTTTGTTGTTTTAACGTGTACATATATATGCTCCCTTCCTCATAGCATTCATCCACCTGATGAAGGCGTAAGCACACACTCCGAAGGTTGTGTTCCTCATAATAAAGAAGTTGACATCCATAAATTCTCTTCCTGATGTGCTACATGGTATTAGTTTTTTAATCTTACAAGCCTTTTGAAACTAGGGTAGCATTTGGATAAGTGGACAATTATATAACACTTAGCACTGGATGTTCCTATCAGAAAAAGCTTTCCGAAATTGCAGCTGTTGTACACCAACGCGTGATGAGCCTGTGAATGAATGCCATGCCTCTTCCAGTAGTATAGCAATATCAGTGCGGACTTTACATAATTGATTAAATAATTCTGGGCCAGGCAACCAGCTGCTTGTCAACATCAGTAACCAATCAATTTAAAGCTGTCCTCACTTGAAAGAGTGTACTATACCCAGTACCTCCAACTGTGTTAAACTGTTCATAGTCCATATAAGATATTTTTGTATGGTTTCTATCAATTCTAGGGGGCACGGGTGGCCCAGTCGTCTGAGGCGCCGTATTCGCCGTGCAGAGTTGCGTCCCTTGAAACATGTTCGTGCGGTGGGTGAAGTGAGTGAGTGAGGGAGTATGGTTTTACGCCGCTTTTAGCAATATTCCAGCAATATCACGGCGGGGGACACCAGAAATGGGCTTCACACACTGTACCCATGTCGGGAATCGAACCCGGGTGTTCGGCGGGACGAGCGAACGCTTTAACCGCTATGCTGCCCGACCGCCTCAATGGGTGAAGTGAGTGTATAGCAATGCGTGTATAGCAGTTGGCACCAGCTATACCAGGGAGACTTGTAAATGATCGAATCCGGACCAGGCAGACCAGTGGTTGATAGTGCGAGCATTTATATGAGGTCACCGCCTGTAACCAGTCGCATCTCGGTAAACATTCTGCTCTTACGAAAAGCATGGAGTATTGGTTTTGACACCTGCATCAGCTGTTTTACTAGACATACAGTAAACACGTAGACATATATACCAGCGAATAGGGGCATTTTAGCAATTGTGTCGCAAAACGACATTCACTCACCAACTTAACAATATTTTCTCACCGTTAAACGATTTGCAATTTTTGCGTATGCCTTGATTCAATATTTTATCATCAAATTTTATATCGTTAGCGACGTAAAGTACACAATATATTTATAACTTCTTAAGTCGCTGTTTTTTTAAACTTTCAGGGAATAAAAACATTAACGAAATTTTACCTAAAGTCTTAATTGTTGTTTCCAATTTTGGTATACTGAGTGTACTTTTGGTGTAAGTAAACGAACAGTGGTAACAGTTTCCGGAAAGTAAAAGATGTATATTTTAAATGATATAGAAAACAGCATTGGTTGCCCATGTGAATAATACATTCAAACCTTCGAACGCGTCAAAAAGCTTGTCAACATCAGTAACCAATCAATTTAAAGCTGTCCTCACTTGAAAGAGTGTACTATACCCAATACCTCCAACTGTACAATCGTTAAACTGTTCATAGTCCATATAAGATATTTTTGTATGGTTTCTATCAATTCTAGGGGGCACGGGTGGCCCAGTCGCCTGAGGCGCCGTATTCGCCGTGCAGAGTTGCGTCCCTTTATGCATGTTCATGCGGTGGGTGAAGTGAGTGAGTGAGGGAGTATCGTTTTACGCCGCTTTTAGCAATATTCCAGCAATATCACGGCGGGGGACACCAGAAATAGGCTTCACACACTGTACCCATGTCGGGAATCGAACCCGGGTCTTCGGCGTGACGAGCGAACGCTTTAACCACGAGGCTACCTGACCACCCGATTCAAAAGACGAAAGGGGGGTGGGGTGGGGGGAAATGGGGTTATTGATTATTGCACTTATATAATCGACGTGCATGTGTTTGTGTGGCTGCTTATACTAGTCCGGACTAATGCCGATTGATAATTCTAGCTCACTGAGATACCATTCCGCAGTTTAACATGAATACCCCACTCAGACACAGTATACTGACTCCGAGCCGACCAGTCCTTGTCGGGAATCGAACCCGGGTCTTCAGCGTGACGAGCGAACACTTTAACCACGAGGCTACCCGACCGTCCCGCTGGTATAAGTGGGTGTATAGCAATGCGTGTATAGCAGTTGGCACCAGCTATATCAGGGAGACTTGTAAATGATCGAATCTGGACCAGGCAGACCAGTGGTTGATAGTGCGAGCATGTATATGTGATCACCGCCTGTAACCAGTCGCATCTCCGTAAACATTCCGCTCTTACGAGAAGCATGGAGTATTGGTTTTGAAAACTGCATCAGCTGGTTTGCTAAACATACAGTAAACACGTAGACATATATACCCGCGAATAGGTGCATATTAGCAAATTTTGTCGTAAAACGACATTCACGAACTCACTAAAGAATAATTTCTCATCGTTAAAGCCCCATCTGCGGTAGTAACTACCGCACTCTAGTGGGCGGAGCTTATACAAGTGATCTGACAGGTCAATATGACGTCATGGTAACACATACATTTCATTGGTTAATGCGTAAACGGGTGACGTCATGTACACACCCACCCACGTGGGCCGTTTGACAACAAGGGATTAAGTTTTAATGGTCATAAATATCTACCAAACGATTCCAAGACTTTTCAACAAACGCGTACATCTTTGGTTCCAAAACCTACCAGCCATGTCGTCTTCACATCTTCATAAAATGATACCGTGGAATGTCCACGATTTATCCAACACAGTCCAACACACAAATTATGGTTCTAAATCGAGAACGAAATACGTTTGTCGTGATGCATATGAGCAGTGTAAATGAACAAAAAACATAATATGTGTTGGGGTACCAATCGTTATACTGTAGTGTACGGTATATATGCAGTTTATAAATAGCATTTCTCATAATATATACAGCAATCGGTGATTTCAACAATGTTTTTCTTCGTTGTGTTCGTCTTGCCTCATCTGGAATCTGGATGACAACGATCGTGTAAAAAACCCTGATAATGGTCAAAAATATTTTCAAGTGTTCAAAGTAGTTTCTTGTCGTTTTTTCATTGCCCAGTAGCAATGTATTTTGGCAAAGTCTCACTTGTCCGATGAAGCTCCGCATGCCGAAGTAACTCGATCCGTGAAACTTGGCGGGTCCCAGTGACCCAGATCCCTCTTGATTGGCATTGCCAAGTGTCATTTGCATAAGGCCATCCATATTTTTTGTATGTGTTTCTCCCCTCAAGCCTCAACCAGAGACCATATGGTCTCTGCCTCAACTAATCAGAGAGCCCGCGGACGAAATTAAATATATGACTAATCAAAAAATGCCTTTCAATAATTGTGTAAGTTATTTTATGACATTTTAAAAAAGGTTCAACACTTGGTACTGGAATCTAGTCTATGAATTAATTTATGATGTAGATCGATTCGCTTTTTTTCGGAAACGTATTTTTAATTAACATGGGAACAAAGATAAACTTGACCTGGTTCTTTT